CCTACTATATATATATATATATATATATATATATATATATATATATATATATATATATATATATATATATATATATGTATGATATGTTAATGATGACGCGCTAATATAAGTAATAAATAAAGTAATATATTATTCTAATATGGTTATTATATTTATTTTATTAGCATATATAACAGTTATCTGTATAAATTATAAAACACTATGACAAGGTAATGTTTAATTTATTATATTATATATATATTTATTTATTACATTTTATATTATCATCTCACGCATGGATCGGCATTTTCTATAATGTCTAAATTCTAAATCAAAATACATATCTGATATGACTTAATATATAATTAACATAAAACAAATAATATAATTCATATTCTCAAGGATTAAACATTAAACGGAAAAAAATTTAAATGATTGCACAACCATCAATTAGGTGGCGATATGCACTAAGCATGTAAACAACCAATGAACAAAAGAAGAAGATAGAAACAGCATGGCAAGCTTTTTCTTAGCGTCCATTTCCATAGCGACTCGTCGATTCGTCGCTCTGTTGAGAATGTCTTGAGGCTTACTTAACCAGGAACATACTCTGAGTTGAATGAACTTACTCCCGGACGCATTTTTTGGAACCACATACCTCGAGTAAGCAAGGTTAGGGGTTAATCAACCGAAATTTCAGGGTTTAGCTGACGTTAAGTTAACCGTGCTCTCTGGAATACACCCCTGATCTCCTTGGATCTTTAAAACCCCATTTTACAGAGGTTGATATTGCAGCAACACGTTTATTCATTTTAGTTTTGTGCGCTTCGCTGTTCGCTCCTGACACACCAATTCAGCGCATTTTCCAGCAGAGATCGTTGTGAGATCGTAGGTCGGGAGGATGACAGCTCGAGTATATTTCTCATTGATTGCTGTTTTATCGTGTCTGTTCAGATACTTGAGCATAACAGATGCTACTCGAACCGTGCACAGGTGAGAAGATCTGTTGACCATTACAGCGCCTGAAGAAATGCAGAAATAAGTGACTCTAAGTCTTTGAAAGTAATTAACAGTTTAGGAATGAGTAGTAGGTTTCAAAACGCTTTTGATTTGAAGCAGATAAATATGTACAATTTGTATTAAGGTTTGAGACTTATTGCTAAACTCCTGATTTACAAATGCAGGAACCGCGCTCCCTGGCCTCCCCTAATGATCCTTTTGTTTAAGCAATAAAATGTTACAAAACTTTTTAATTTAAGTGAATGGAAATGTTCAGCATTCAGTGATGGTTTCTGTCATGTGTCTGTATAACAGCAAAGCCAGGACAGTGTCCACCCCAATCATCTGGAAGAAGATCGTGTATCAGTTCCTGTAAGAGTGACTCTAACTGTCCCAACAATGAGAAGTGCTGCAGCAATGGATGTGGACGTTACTGTACGGCTCCATATACAGGTATCCGTGTTGTATTGTTTTTGTCTAATAATAATAATAATACATTTTGCCTTTTGTTGTTCTCTTCTAAAGTAGGTTTGAATTTATCCCTTAGGATAGTTTTAAACCCAATGATTTAAAAAAAATAAAGAGGAAAATACTTTGAGTATAATTTACTCTGTAGGTAAAACTTGCTATTCATGCTTTGAGTGTTTCGTGCTGTATATTGAAGTGGTATACTGTCTATATGCACAAACTAAAGCTGACTATCTGTGTCTACGCTGTGAAGCCGGGTCAATGTCCCAAATCGAAGAACATTCCACTGTGTGCTGAAAGCTGTTTCCATGATGGCCACTGTCCTGCCACACAGAAATGTTGCGCAACCACCAGTGGCCAAGCATGTAGTGAACCACGTGGCCAGGGAGGTGGTCAGGGGAGGGGTCAGGGAAGCGGAAGTGGTCAGGGGCGCGGTCATGGTCATGGTCAGTGGAGTGGTCAGGGAAGCGGGAGTGGTCAGGGGAATAGTCAGGAAAACGGCCAGGGGAGTGGTCAGGGAAGCGGTTATGGTCAGGGGAGTGGAAGTGGACAGGGGAGAGGTCAGGGAAGCGGAAGTGGTCAGGGGAGTGGTCAGGAAAACGGCCAGGGGAGCGATTATGGTAAGGGGAGCGGTCAGGGGAGCGGAAGTGGTCAGGGGAGAGGTCAGGGATGCGGAAGTGGTCAGGGGAGTGGTCAGGGAACTTGATCAGGGGAGTGGTCAGGAAAACGGCCAGGGAAGTGGTCAGGGAAGCGGTCAGGGGAGAGGTCATGGTCAGGGAAGCGGAAGTGGTCAGGGGAGTGGTTAGGGAAGTTGATCAGGGGAGTGGTCAGGGGAGTGGTCAGGGAAGTGGTCATGGTCAGGGGAGTGGTCAGGAAAGTGGTCATGGTCAGGGGAGTGGTCAGGAAAGTGGTCATGGTCAGGGGAGTGGTCAGGAAAGTGGTCATGGTCAGGGGAGTGGTCAGGAAAGTGGTCATGGTCAGGGGAGTGGTCAGGAAAGTGGTCATGGTCAGGGGAGTGGTCAGGAAAGTGGTCATGGTCAGGGGAGTGGTCAGGAAAGTGGTCATGGTCAGGGGAGTGGTCAGGGATGCGGTTATGGTCAGGGGAGCGGTCAGGGGAGCGGTCAAGGTCAGGGATGTGGCCATTGAAAAGATCATGGGAATTTTGCATAACACCTACTGGAGATCTTTTCAGTTCAGTGCTTTATTCATATGGCATGTTTTCCCTGTTTGCTCAAACAGTTTAGAAAGATTTTTGTTGATCGTTCTCTCTCTCTCTTTCATTTTAAAGTTGTACAACTTTCTTAATGTATTGGGATTTTAAGTATAATTTTTCGAGTACTTTTTGCACCCCTTCATAGATTTGATTGGCCATGTCTGTCATTTTGACTTTGACGAGGATTGTTTGACTGCTGAAGTGGACAGGGGAGAGGTCAGGGAAGCAGAAGTGGTCAGGGGAGCGGTCAGGAAAACGGCCAGGGGAGCGATTATGGTAAGGGGAGCGGTCAGGGGAGCGGAAGTGGTCAGGGGAGAGGTCAGGGGAGAGGTCAGGGATGCGGAAGTGGTCAGGGGAGTGGTCAGGGAAGTGGTCATGGTCAGGGGAGCGGTCAGGAAAGCGGTCATGGTCAGGGGAGTGGTCAGGGATGCGGTTATGGTCAGGGGAGCGGTGAGTGGTCAGGGGAGTGGTCAGGGAAGTGGTCATGGTCAGGGGAGTGGTCAGGAAAGTGGTCATGGTCAGGGGAGTGGTCAGGGATGCGGTTATGGTCAGGGGAGCGGTCAGGGGAGCGGTCAGGGAAGCGGTTATGGTCAGGGGAGCGGTCAAGGAAGCGGTTATGGTCAGGGAAGCGGTCAGGGGAGAGGTCATGGTCAGGGAAGCAGTCATGGTCAGCGAAGCGGTCAGGGAAGCGGAAGTGGTCAGGGGAGCGGTTATGGTCAGGGAAGAGGAAGTTGTCAGGGAAGCGGAATTGTTCAAGGGAGCGGTCATGGTCAGGGGAGAGGTCGTGGTCAGGGAAGTGGTCAGAGGAGAGGTCGTGGTCAGGGAAGCGGTTGTGGTCAGGCAAGGGGAAGTGGTCAGGGAAGTGGTCAGGGGAGCGCTTATGGTCAGGGGAGAGGTCATGGTCAGGGAAAGGAAGTGGTCAGGGGAGTGGTCAGGGGAGCGGTCAGGGGAGCGGTCAATGTCAGGGATGTGGCCATTGAAAAGATCATGGGAATTTTGCATAACACCTACTGGAGATCTTTTCAGTTCAGTGCTTTATTCATATGGCATGTTTTCCCTGTTTGCTCAAACAGTTTAGAAAGATTTTTGTTGATCGTTCTCTCTCTCTCTTTCATTTTAAAGTTGTACAACTTTCTTAATGTATTGGGATTTTAAGTATAATTTTTCGAGTACTTTTTGCACCCCTTCATAGATTTGATTGGCCATGTCTGTCATTTTGACTTTGACGAGGATTGTTTGACTGCTGATCAGCTCCGATGAGAAAGTCCATTATCTTTGCGGCACCAGTGTTCAGTTAGTGTTGTTAAGCAGTTATTTCACTCTTTTTTTTTAATAAGCCTATAAATGCCGAGGTCTGGATCTCGCGGATCTCATGCTGGGAACGGCAGTGTGTTTAACTTTATGCGGTTCTGCGCAGACCAATCGTCGAGAGTTGCAGCTTGCAGTCGGGGCGGATTTGAAAGCGTAGACATGAAATCAGACTCTTTCTGCTTTCCATAGAGATGTTCGTACGGTGTTTGCATACTTTATCACATATTAAGAGAATAAAATGCAATATTTGTCGAATACAGACGTTTCATAGACATTTTCATGAAGCAACAGAAACACTTCATGTAGGTTACTGCAGGCATCTGATAGGAAACGTCCTATAGACGTATTGCAGATGAGCAAACACTCTAAAAAAAAAATACATCTGCAGATGTAAATGCAGACGTCAAATAGACATTTCCGTGATGAAGGCCAGAGGCATCATGCCTATTCAAAGTGAGAGGGCACCTGCGCCCTCAGATTTTTGAGCCAAGTGGATTTTGAATGCAGCTTCCAAAAGACAAAAAAATAGCAGATTAATATTTTCTATATTTAATACAATCACACCGGGATGATTAGAACACTCAGTGCATCATATTTATTTTGAATAAAAAGGAAAAAATAAATAAAACATAAGTTGTGGCTGCTGTGTCACATGACGACAAACCCCCCCAACCCCAACTCGTGGCCCCTAAAAAATAATGAGTGCATGACACCCCTGTCTTCCAGTCATTTGATTCACATTCACAGTTTGCATTTTGCAGGCAAACAAGGTCATTGCAATCCTCTGGATCAGTTTGCATGCAACAAACGGGAAAACAGTCACATTTATAATAGTCAAAAAGTTACTGTAACATAGCAGAAAAACAGAAATAGCCCCATATTCTGTGTGTCACAGCAATCGGATGTTAGATGACAGATTACAGACCACTGGCATTAAAAAGAAATAAAAGCAATTAAAAATAAACAAATAAAAATAAAAAATGAATAAAGTGATTACCAAATCAGCGAACAACGAAACCATTTTAAGATTTTAACAGCTATCCCTGGCAATAAAAAAAAAAAAAAAAAATACTGGGGGCCCCCCCCCCCCCAGTCCTCCCGGATAGCCTGTCTATCCATCAAAAAGGAAGAATACAAATCCTGCAGGGAAATTACCTGAACCCCCGCACATTATGAGAGGGACGTCTCAATATCTCCCTGGTGAGACTTTTCGGTAATACCACTGAATGGTGAAAACTTTATTAACTGCGTGCTTTTAAACTGAAGCCTTTATCTTAAATACATATTGTTGTGAGCTTTATTATGGAAAATCAAAAAGACAAAGCCATAGAGACATGTACATTATGCCACCATATTATATATTCATACCCTGTGTTAATCATAAAGTTATCCTTTTATCCATCCATCCATCCATCCATTTTATATTTGGTGACTTAAGGACTGTTCCAAATTTGTGTGACTAGTAGAGTCTTAAAAAAATGTTCTTTATACATTTTTCTTAAAAACATTTCTCATGGAAAATATTTCATTGTAGTTTCATTAAAAAATCTTTCTAGACTGTACTCTTCCAGACAATGTTGAAAGATTTATTTTTTATTAAAAATTTTTAAGCACTCTCATGCTATTGCCTACTTAGGATGAATTACTTCGTTGAATTTCTTATTTGTAAGTCTCTTTGAACAAAACCATCCGCTAAATGAATACTGTAAGTGTTTTATGTTGCTGTATTTTATTTACTCACCACTATTTTTCAAACATTTGATTACGTTTACTAATGTAATCTCAGATTTGTAGGATGCTTTAGCGTTTAATGCAGCCTTACGCTTATCTCTGGCCTGCAGGGTAACATGAGAGGTCATTAACTAAAGAGAAACAACGGTGTTGGTAATGAGACATCATTGTATTTGTTGTCCAATCCATCTCTATGTGAACGTATTGCTGAACAAACACCATGATGCCATTCTTACTGTATATATGTGTAATTTGGTTACAGTATGAAAACCTGGAGGTCACTGTGTGGTACAGACAGCACGAGTACCTCGTTTCCAAAGTGGCTTGAGTGCTCACAAGGTTAGACGATTGGTCTTACATAAGGAAATATATGTTTGCTTAGTGTTTGTAAGTGTGTTCTGTATAAATTATATAAAACATTGGAAGGTCTTTAGAGGTCTGATCAACTTATGAAACATGATGAAGCACTTTATTCAATGAGGTCTATAGGTGACAAGCTCTCACACAGAATAAATTAGAGAAACAAATGAAAATATTGGTGATTATATGAGCTTATTGAGATGTGTAGAGCAGTCAGACAAGCTGTAGTCACTCTGATCACAAAGCTGTGGTAACACCGGCAGGCGGTGGGACCTCCTCAGGATGCAGAGTCCATGCTGAACAAGCCCTTTCTATGTTAATTTGCGCTCTCTCTTCTTCCCCCTGCCAGAAACTCATGAACCTTAATTCAAGCCCTTATCATTCCATAGCTCTGGCACACTGCTCAGCTCTTGGGCTTCAAAAACTTGTGGGAAGAGGTGTAGAGAACACTGTCAGCCCTTCCTGAGCCCTCGGAAGGCCCTCTCAATCACAGACGCTGTCCCTGACACCAGGGGACCACAGCAAGCCACACAAGAACAGTTGTACTTTGTAAGTCGTTTTTTAGAACGGTTGTTTGACCCGATGTAAGAGACACTTGTGCTTAATTATGATAATGCCATAACCAGAGACTTTCATTCCCCAAGAACTGAGGCAATGTCACCATTTGTGGTAAGCATTGTGTTCCGTTTAAAGAATATTAAAATGTAATATAGCATATTTGAAGCATAGACTGTTTGTGTACAAACAGCTGATAAATAGTTGAAAAAAAGAACATATTCATGTGGATTTAAGATCTCAGATGTTTCTTTAAAACAGCAATGGGATTAAATGGAGAATAAGGGGGTGTTTACACAACACCGTTTTCAACTTAAAAACTGAAAACTTTTTATGTGTTTTGGACGTACATTTACACAACGTTATAGCTCTGTTCTTTTATTGTCAACATTGTCTCACTTGTTTCTTTCTTTCTTTTTTCTTTTCTTTCTTCTTTATTTTCTTTTTTTTTATTTCACCTGAAGAATTTGAAGATGAAAATGAAAATGTAGGTGACTACCATTCAAAAGTTTGGGGTCTGTAAAATTTGTTTTTGAAATGTTTTTAAAAGAAGCCTCGTATATGGTTTGGTGCTCAATAAATAATTATTATCAATGTTGAAAATTGCTTAATAGTTTTGCTGCTTAATACTGTTGTGAATAATTTGATACATTTCTGCAGGATTTTGATGAGTAGAAAGTTCAGAAGAACAGCATTCTACGTAGAAATTTTTGTAACAGTGTATAAGTCTTTAGTCACTTTTGATCAATGCATACTTTCTGAATAATGAATAATGTTATATTAATCTTACTGACCCCAGACATTTGAACAGTAGTATATAGATTAAATAGATGTTTAAGTCACCTAAACTGTTGTTTTAGGATATGAAAAGCTCACCAAAGAAGGGTACAATGTTTCTGAAAGTTCTATCTGAAAACAAATACTATTTAGAAAAGAATGGACGATTAACTTATTTTCCCACATTACAATTTTAACCAAAAGGATCTGGATTATTCTCTGTGATAGCTACTCATCTGAGTAGCTGACAGAGGAAGTTCTCCAGCAGCTCATCTGCTCTGTCCTAAATGCAGCTTTATGATTGGAAGACAGTACCGTGGGAAGCAGGTGTGACTCTATCCCATGAAAGCAGCAGAGCTTTATATGGTCCAGTCTCTTTCTAGCCTCCAGGGCTACTGAGTCAGCACTCTGGTCTTAGACAGTTTGACAGTTAGTCAGAGAGCGTAAATGACTTTTCAAAACGTATGCCATTTAAAATCCTTAACAAGACTTGCTATTTGTCTGTCAACCAAATAATCTTTTTTTTTCTTCAATTTATTTAATTTTATTATTAAATAGTATATTTGTACTTTTTTATATTAAAGAAATAGTTCAACCAAAAATGAAAATTTGATGAAAATGTACTCACCTTTTGGTCAGGCTCAGTTTGTTTCCTTATCAGAACAGATTTGGAGAAATGTAGCATTGCATCACTTGCTCAGCAATGGATCCTCTGCAGTGAATGGGTGCCATCAAAATGAGAGTCCAAACAGCTGATAAAAATATCACTGTATTTGATTAATACTGTTTTGGACTGTTTCCATCTAAAATGGTGCTTGGTCTGTGCATACAGTATCTTTATCCTGATTCAGGACTTGGTTTTAAGTCAGCAATGGTTTGATGTTAAAATTGTCTTGATGGATTTGTTTATTACGCAGCTTTTCACTTCACAAGACATTAATTGATGGACTTGGGTCATGTGGATTACTTGTGGATTATTGTGATTTTTTTTATATAAGCTGTTTGGACTCTCATTCAAAATAATAAATAAATAAAGTGGCACATTCGGATGGCCATGCCACTTGTGGGCTGATTTCAATTCAAAAGGAATGAGAACACTATTATGTGAGTACACTGGAGTTACTGCTCTGGCTTTTCTTAACAGGTTAAAAAAAGAAAAAACAAAAAAATATGACTTCTGAATTCAGCTCCATGCTCCGAGAGCAGCCACTGGATAAGAAACATGGTGGAACACTTTTGAAATGTTGAGATGAGCTCTTTGGTTGCTGGGTGCCTGTCTAAGACAGACTCTTTGTTAAAGATGATATTCCCAGGGCTTCCAGGCTGCTCACTGCCTCCGGATTCCCCTCCCCGTTGCAAAGTGGAACAAAGCACTTAAAGAGTGCATTTTCATACGTTAAAGAGCCACTCTTTCCCCAGGTCATGCTTCCAAGACG